TGCAAGACCAATCACATCATAGAAACATAATCCCACCACTCAGCCCAAAACGACGCTGCAAAACCCACCCAGAATGTAGAAAGCAACACATTACCAGGAAGTCTGAAGCCTCCTCCGATTGCACACTCTCTAACTGCTGGGGCGAAAGAGCTACAAAGAAGCAGCCTCCTTGCCGACCAACAGTTAGCAGTTTGAATTCCCTGCCTTTTTTCCTGCCTTTTTCTGTTTGTTACTGGAAGCTCTTGCTGCAAGTCAAAGCAACATTTTGTAGCTGGAGTTGGTCGTAACTCGAAATGGTCATATGTCGGGATGTTCGTAAGTCAAGGCACCATTGTATGTAGAACATGCATTTCCCCCTCCTTTCTCTTTTTTATAAATGATGGGCAAGGATCCACGCACTGCCTAACACAATTTCACAACGTATGTACACTGTGAATTCAAAGAGAACCCTCCCTCTCTGCTGAGTCTTTTTCTTTCCCTCTCTTTAGTCTGTTGGAAACAATTGTTTGCTGTTGATCTGTTCACAATTGCAAGGAAACATTTTAATCTTTCTCTCCTACGAAAGTCTCAGAGTGAATTATTGAGACTTTAAGTGCCATTTAATGAGAAAATGGTAGACTATTTGGGGAACTTGAGGCTATTCTCCTCTGTGGATCTCTGCGCTTCTAATGTGTAGAACAAAAGGGACATTTCCCACAAATTCAAATCTCTGTAACAACATGAGATATGTTGTGGTGGTGGTTGTGGAAGCCCTTCTTGGATCACTGGGGTAGGGTGCCTGTCAGTAGAAACTGATCTGTTTCTGTTCCATTGTTTTGTGTATCAAGCTGGATCATTTGAACTATGCACACACTTCATCCCTGTATCTAATGGCTGTATTTCCAACAGGAAGTCTCCATGGCCAAGTCCCCCAGCATCTTACCTGTTTCACTACTAATGCTCAGTTTCCACAGGAGGCCTAGAGCTATATATTCTGAAGGTACCATTTTACTGCCGACTGACCTGCCTGAACACTCAGTCTGTTGACCACAACAGCCAAGCCTTGTCTACCAAATCCTGTAAAGCCCCTAGACTGTATTCCAGAATCTGAATACTGTATTCTCGAACCTGCTTTATCTCCTTTATGAGGACACAATCCTTCCTCATGCTCCTTGGATACTGCTAGTATAGAAAGAAAGGATATTAAATAATTAAACTGCAGCAGAATGAAACATATAATGGGAATTTAAAAAGGTAAAGGTTCCCCTTGACAATTTGTCCAGTCATGTCCAACTCTTGGGGGCGGTGCTCATCTCTTGTTTCCAACCCATAGAGTTTGCCCGAAGACAGTCTTCCATGGTCACATGCCCAGCACAACTAGACATGGAACGCTGGTACTTTCCCACCATGATGGTACTTATTTATCCACTCGCATTTTGCATGCTTTCAAACCACTAGGTTGGCAGGAGCTGGGACAAGCGACAGGGGCTCACTCCATCACGTGGATTCTGTCCTACGACTGCAGGTCTTCTGACCCTGCAGAACAGAGGCTTCTGCGGGGAATGGGAATTAAAAAAATAAATCAAGCAGGTCTGCATTCAGATTATAAAGCACTTAAAAATACAGACTGGAGAACAAGCTGGTGAAGATGGAACTCTTCCCCATTCCTGCATTCAAAATGCAGGATTAAACATATCTCTAGATTGAAATGCAGCACTAAAAGCTCAAGATCAGTGTGAACATTCATTAAACCTGATATTCAGTAATGACTTTTAAGTCATGGATGTTTTTTAAGGGAGAATGAAAAATACCATTTGTTGTTATGGAACAACAGATGACGTAGAAGGCCAACTGGTATGGCCATACTGTTGTGAGCATATGGATCACTGGAATCTAATAGGACTGGTATGGCCATACTGTTGTGAGCATATAGATCACTGGAATCTTAAGTTAACTACATGGTTAAAAGAGTTGCATGATGCTTGTATGCAACTAGCTTGCAATACAGCCTATTGGCCAGTATCGTCTTGCAGAGCTCTGCTGGCAAAGCAAGGAATGATGTTGCCTGCAGAAGCAGACAGCTGCTAATTAATGTATTCCTTTATATCATTTTTTAAAATTAAATGTTGACCATGCCTGCAGAAGCAGACAGCTGCTAATTAACGTATTCCTTTATTTCATTTTTTAAAATTAAATTTTGACCACACGGATGACAGCACGCCAGGCCCTCCTGTGTTCCACTGCCTGCCGGAGTTTGGTCAACTTGATGTTGGTAGCTTCAATGGCACTGTCCAACCATCTCGTCCTCTGTCGTCCCCTTCTCCTCTTGCTCTCACACATTTCCAACATTGGGGGCTTTTCCAGAGAGTCTTCTTATGAGATGGCCAAAGTACTGTAGCTTCAGCTTCAGCATCTGTCCTTCCAGTGTGCACTCAGGGTTGATTTCTTTCAAAATGGATGGATTTGCAGAGAGTCTCCTACAGTGCCACAATTCAAAAGCATCAATTCTTTGGCAGTCAGCCTTCTTTATGGTCCAGCTCTCACTTCCATACATTGCTACTGGAAAAACCAAAGCTTTGACTATGCAGACCTTTGTTGGCAAGGTGATGTCTCTGCTTTTTAAGATGCTGTCTAGATTTGTCATCGCTTTCCTCCCAAGAAGCAGGTGTCTTTTAATTTCGTGGCTGCTCTCACCATCTGCAGTGAAAGTCCATGGATCTGCTACTTATAAATAAGTGACCTCCAAAAGATCCTGCCATTAACAGCCCTCATGTCTTCAAAACTCAAAACTTTCTTCCTTGAGTTAATCCGTCTCATCCTCGGTCTTCTAGCTTTCCTACGGCTTTTCAGTTTTCCCTGATATCTCTTCATAGATTCCCAGCGTCTCTTCATACTGCGATATCATTGCGACGTATCGCCGCCTAATTAAGCTGGCCACATCTCTGGTCAGTCCGTGTCTTTCTCTCTCCCCCCCCCCGCGGATTCATTTACAGGTGCGTGGCAGCGGCGGGGCAGGGGGAGCGCGAGACGGAGCTGTCCAATGAGTGTCAACCTCCTCTGGAAAGGTGCGCGTCTGGACACCACCACAGCCGTCGAGGACGCGGGAAGCCCTCTTGACGCGCCAGTTTAGCAAGGTGTTACAAAACAAGTACTGTAACAGCAAAAAGCACAGCCTCATGATTTTTTTCTTTTTAATTCCCAGAAGAAGCGTCGGCGGGAACTTTCCCTGCTCAGGGATGGCCTCCAAAGGGTGGGGGCGAGCACGGAAAGACAAAGCGGGGATTGAGAGGCCAACTCCGCCGCGCCTCGGCTGCCTGGAGGTTTCCTGCTCGCGGGCGGCCCCAGAAAGTCTCGCCTGTTCGCCGACACAAGGAGCCTTTTGAACCGACACCAGGCTGAGTCCAGCCAAACCGCGCGCCGCAAAGCCCCATCTCTTTCCCGCCCGCCCGCCTTAGGTGTGCCTGGAAGTCTGGCAGGCGAAAAGAGCCAAGGGTGGAGTCAAAGCCCCGCCCCCTTGGCGAGCGCGAGGCCCCGCCCCCTTGTCGGAGCGCGCCACAAAACCAGCGGAGCCGCACGGGGCGCCGGGCGCTTTCCAGCAGCTGCAGGACGGGCGAAGCTTCGCGTTCGTCTTTCTCCCCCCACCTTTCGGTCACTGGGTGGCGGGGCTTCTTCGCTCCCGTCCCGAGCTTAACCCAGGCGCGATGGCTCCGCCCGAACTCTACCACAAAGAATTTGCCAACGCGGGCCGGAAAGCCGGGCTCCAGATCTGGAGGGTGGAACAGCTGGAGCTGGTGCCCGTGCCCGACCCTTTGCACGGCAATTTCTACGTGGGCGACGCCTACCTGGTGCTCCACACCTCCAAGCGGAGCAACGCCGTCTTCTACAACCTCCACTACTGGCTAGGTAGGTCGAGGCAGGGCAGCCCCAGCGAGCTGCTGGAGGGTCGTGCAGGGGGGTGTTGAGAGCTGGGGGGCGGCGGCCGCTTGGGGTGGCCCAGAGAACCCTCCGGGATCCGACGAGAGTAAAAAAGATGAGGTGGGTTGCGATCCCGCGCTCGTCACCTCAACTCTTGTGAGATTTGCTTCTCGGTAGAATTGGGGACGATCCACTGGGATCTTCCTCGTTTTTGCTCGGCCGGGGCGATCGGTGGCTTCCCACCCAGGAAGGAGATCCAGAGGGTCGCTTCTCTTCTGCTCCCAACGTCCAGCGTAGAAAGGGAGGGAAGCGAGCAGGTGCGCGCCCTTCACGCGAAGAATAAGTTGGACACTTTCCTTGTTGGAAAGTGGAGGTGAGGGAGGTGACCTTTAGGGGGATAGAGGGGGGAAGGTTACCCGAAAGGCTCTGGAGAGAGATCAGTCGACCCCTGGAAAAAGATCCGTCGATCTTGAGAGAGGCTTTGGGTAAATCTTCTTTCAGGGATGTGCTCCCTTTCATGATGTTGCACTGTTGAGTAACAGTCTAACTTTGCTCTTTCCAAAAGTTTTGGCCGGATTGCCTCACCGGTGCACTTCTGTTCCTGCATGTCTTCTCCCTTGGCGATGAGAGGCGATTGTGGGCTTTTAAAAGGCAGTGAGGGGGCAGAGAGATACCTCTCTGTTCTTCCTTTAGTTTGGCCTAGAGGCTGCCTCACCACACCAGTGCACTTCTGTTCCTGCATGTCTTCTCCCTTGTGGAGGAGAGGCCATTGTGGGCTTTAAAAAGGCAGTGATGGGGCAGAGAGATACCTGTCTGTTCTTCCTTTAGTTTGGCCTAGAAGTACATGGCTGTGTTGATCACAGGAAAAAAGAGTTACTCAAGAACTTTATTGCCTCCTCTGTTTTGTAAACAGAAGCGATGTTTTCACTTCTGTTCCTGCATGTCTTCTCCCTTGTGGAGGAGAGGCCATTGTGGGCTTTAAAAAGGCAGTGATGGGGCAGAGAGATACCTGTCTGTTCTTCCTTTAGTTTGGCCTAGAAGTACATGGCTGTGTTGATCACAGGAAAAAAGAGTTACTCAAGAACTTTATTGCCTCCTCTGTTTTGTAAACAGAAGCGATGTTTTCCGTAGACTGCCAAAAAAAATACTGTATTTCTCGTACAAGCAAGGTCAGGCTTCCTCGATCTGGTATCTTCTGGAGATGCTGGGAGATGTTGCCTTACGCAGCTGAGAACTGACACGTTGGGGAAGGCTGATCTAGACTGGATTCAGGTTGGGGCAGGTTCCCACCCTCTGGCACTCCGTAAAGACCCAAGCACATGAAGGGCATCCTGCAAATGACAGAAGAAGAAGAAAAGAAATATTGTGACATCCACTGCATGCAGCTAAACCCAGTCTTTTAAGGGCAAGGCATTATGAAATGGAAAGATAGATTACATTAAATGCAAAAAAGAATCTTGTGGCATAGTAGAAATGGTCCCTTTCCAAGGTGACACCAGATTCACATTTTCTGTAGCTAACCTATTCTGGATCAAGCAGGTACTATTTATGCTGGTCTTGAACTTGAACCCATTAAGCATCATTACTCTGCCCCGTTGATTGTGGGGTGTATTTAAAGAAGCAGATATAAGTATTAATTCATAATCGGAAATATATTTATTTATGTACAAAATACAACAGTAAGCAAATGTAGGGCTTGTTGACATAAGGTGATGATGATGGTGGTGGTGGTGGTGATGATGGTGATGAGTGGGTTGGTGTGAGCTAAATAAGATTGCTTGGGATTGGGTAGTGGTTCAGTCCTCGCATCCAAATGGCATACTGGACCTCAAGTGACCCTATTTTGTCTGATTCCTTCCTCCAGAAATATCTGACATGAAGACACTTAAGAAGAGAGTCACTTCAGGTTACTGGGAAATTAAACACTTCCTCTGCTCTTCCATGGAGGGGCAGAGGAAGTAAAAGAAAATTTTTAGATTCTCTTAGGGCAGCACAGATGCATTGCATCACTTATACTTTTTTTCATTGAAAACTTTCTCATGGAAGTGGGAGGAGTCAGGAGGGGACAACAAGGAGCTTGCCATAAAAGTCTTGTTGAGAACCTGTCAGCATCTGAATCCACTGTTGAGTACTGGGTGGTGGTGGATTTGGGGTGGACCTTTCCAGACTGACCTTACCTGATTTTATACCCCCTGTTCTGCTGTCTCATTGAGAACCTGCCATTGGCACCATGTGTTTTATCTGTTAATTGTTTTTAACCTCTTAGTTGTGTATTAGTAGCTTAATAGCATTTGCTGTGCCCAGGATAGTGTATAGCACTAATGGGTCGTATATAAATTTAAGAAATAAATAAATACATTTACAAGTCAAAAAGAGAGAGAAAGAAATGCCCCTTGTTGCTCCTCTCATCTCCTTCTACTTCCAGGAGGAAATTTTAGATTTTTTAAATTAAAAAAACTTAACCTGCATCAAAAAAAGTAGGGTCTGACAGGGATCCAGAAAGGTGTGGGTAGAAATGGTCTGGGAACAGGCTGGTTCACTCCATCAATTATGTCATGGAATTGTTAACCAACCTGTCCTTAAAGCAGACCAAACAGTGGGTTAAATGCCCATCTGATCCCACCCCATATGGTTTGTCTCCACATACCTAGAGTGAAAGAACAAGGTTTCTTTCTGGGACAGGTGCCATGCTTCCACACAAAATGGAAAGCTGTCAGCTCTTAATTGAGAAATAGCCCACATATTAAATTTAATTTTTATCCTCCCCTTCTTCAAAATACTTTTGCACTTCTTATCCTCACAACAGTCCTCAGGTCTCCTGAGCTTTACTCTGATACTCTATCCACTACACTGGAGTAACTCTATGGTATACTATGCTGTACTGTTCTATACTGTATGAACATGGCACAGTTTCTCCATATCCTCAGATGGTTTGTAAGTACTAAAATACACAACCTGTTAAAACGATTACAGCCCATGGGTATAGCAGGTCACTGTCCTCTGCTGATTGCCAGATGAATCGTGCCCTGATCTAAGGCAGTGAGTCGGCCGAGTGGCACTATTTCCTTATGACTGTTTGTTCAACTGGGTGTGGGTTTTGGAGCAATCATGTTAGTTCTGTCTCACTCATGTTTAGCATGTAGCTGCACTCCAAAGGCTGAACTACGCGGCACGTGGTGTACAGTTTTAAGTTCATTATCATTTTAATGCTCTCATTCTGAATCAGAAGAATCAAAACAGGTGGGGGAGGGTTAAACCCTGGCACCAACGGAGGGTTTTCCTCTCCTTTTTCCAAGTTGGCAAAATTAAAGGGGTAAATAGGGGGAAGAGAGAGAGAAGGCAAAATAAATGTGTGGCACTTTAAAGATGAACAGGTTTATTTCAGTGTGTACTTTTCTAGAGCAAAATCTACTTATTCAGACACAAGAATTGCAAATAAATGTACTTTTTATTGATGCGGTGCTGAGAGTCAAGATCAAGTGAGGATCCAGTTAATAGCAAAAGGGCAATGGCTTGTGTAACACAGGAGTGAGACTGTCAAGCTCTGAGGTAGAAAACTATATAAATTTGGTTGTCACCAACATGCTAAGAGTTGTTTCTGGGACAGAGGTCAGAGTCTGTTAAGAGAGACAACTATTTTATGCCGAAAAGATGCTATAGAAAGCTTGGTTAATAATATATATAAGCTGAAATTCTGTTGTGCAGTTTTATGAAGATGCTATAGAAAGCTTGGTTAATAATACTGTATATTTAAGCTGAAATTCTGTTGTGCAGCTTTATATCTCAACAGCAATGATGTCATCATCAGAGGTAAATCACTACTGATTAAAGGCTTCCTTTGGTGATTTCAGGGTGCACTGAACTTTGCCGCATTATGTATGAATCACATGTGTCCTCAAATTGATTTGCCACTGATGATGGTGTCATTCCCATTGCACTTGCTGAGCTGCACAACAAGATTTTAGCTATTGTGTGCTAGGAAGCCTTGATCTCTATTTAGGCCTTTGGAAGTGCAGTGGAACTTGTTTATGTAGCCAGTCTCTTCTGTCTCTGTCCCCATACTTCTCTTGTACAGTAATTCCTTTTCTTTCAAAATAGCCCCTTCGAGATCCATAACAAAGTGTTGTGGGAGGCTGAAGTCTTCTGGAACTGTGTTGCTGTTACTGATATCAGATTTATGTCCATTCATTCCTTTGTGCAGAAATTGTCCCTCTTGTTCTGTGCAGGATGCAAAAGGGTACTCGTGGCAGAAGGGACAGATATGACACACTAATACAGATGCACCTCTGTAGTCCAGGTTGATTTTGGGATTAAAAATAAGTTAGTTAAAGGTGGGCTGGAGAATGAGGCATTTTTCATCACTGTTCTAGATCAGCTCATTTCACAGGAGTCTTAGTCCCAGGTGAATGCATCAGTGAATAAGGTGCAAGTGAAACTTGGTGAACTCCTTTTTGTACAGAGAGTGCCCGAGGCTCTTGGCAACGTTTGAGTAGCTGGCACTTTTCCTAATGAGTTTTGAATATTTGTCGATCTGATCCATCGCAGAGGCTTGCAAGCTGAGTTCCCAGAGCTGTGTAAATATGCTCTGCTTGGTTTTCTATTCATACACGCATAACCACGAGTGACAGGGAAACTTCACTTTCTGGCTGTGGTTGTGCAGAGTTCTCTGCAGTACAGAATTAGTTCCTTTATTTGTTTTAGAAGGAAGGGGCTGTGGTTGTGCAGAGTTCTCTGCAGTAGAGAATTAGTTTATTTGTTTTAGAAGGAAGTGATGCAGCTTTTGCTCAGCACACATGAACTACAAAACACGAGCACCAAAGATGACAAATTTAGCTACATGTGGTGGAAAAAGATAATGAGTGCTGTGATTAAAGATTACATTGGAACTGTCAACTACTAATACTTCTGAATAGTAGGGATAGCATCAAATGATCTTCCTGAGATGCCTGATCCAGAGATAAATAGAAGCAAAAGTAAACTGAATTAGCAAGCATGTATGAAGGGTTCATATCAGGGATGTTGAGCAGTCTCTGGGTCTGAGTCTCAAGTCTGAGTCTTTGATACCAAGTCCTGAGTCCCAAGTCTGAGTCCCTGTTAAAGACAACTTTTTTCCCTATGAAAAAAAAGAGGGGTGGGTTCCAAGTTGTAAGTTGAGTCCAAGTCATTAAAAAAAACTGAGTCAAGTGACTGGTGTGACAAAAGTCTGACTTGACCGTGACTCTCATGACTCGAGTCCCCATCCCTGGTTCATATATGCATTTAATTTAAATTTAAACCATATATTAAGTATTACAAATCAGTTGGAACTTAAACTGGTTTATGCTTACCTTACTACACTGAAAGAAGATTTGAGAAGCAGCATGAATGGCTGCAGAGAAGGGAAGGGGAGAGGAAAAGCAAGGGAATGGACTTGGTGGAGTGGTTGGGAAGTGTTTTACCCTCCAAAAAAAATCTGTACTGTATAGTTGTTTTCTTCCTCTTGGGAAGGAAAGTGCTCCAAAGGGCAGAACCAAGAGAGGACAGGAGTAAAGCAATATATGTGATTTCTCTTTCTATTTTTTTCTGGTAAGGTTTTACTGTAGTCATAATATAGTAAATATAATTACTTATTTGGCATGTAAATATATTCTGGGTTTTCTGGTATAAAGTGCCTAGGAATGGTATACCATTCCCTTCTTCCGGAAGTATCCTTTATTGTAGTTATAAAACTTAAATGGCAATATGATATCCACTTAGCTGTTAAACATTTACCTCCTCCAACTTAAACGTAAAATGCCCTGGATCCATTCCAGTTGGACTTCAGGTCGCGTCATGGTACAGAAACGGCACTGGTCGCACTGTTGGATGACATGTTGAGGGAGGCTGATGGGGGCAAAATGTCCTTGTTGGTCCTCCTCAATATCTCAGCCACTTTCGATACCGTCGACCACGGTATCCTCCTGGGGAGGCTCTCCGAGTTGGGAATCGGTGGACTGGCGCTTGCCTGGCTCCGTTCCTTCTTGGAGGACCACCCTCAGAGAGTACAGATTGGGGAGGGTGTTTCGGCCCTGTGGAATCTCAATTGTTGGGTTCCGCACGGCTCGATTATCTTCCCCAATGCTGTTTAATATCTATATGAGGCTGCTGGGTGGAGTCATCAGGGGCTGTGGGGCCTTGTGCCATCGGTACACTGATGTCACTCAGCTTTACATCTCTTTTTCACCAACCTCAATGGATGCCGTTCTGTCTCTTCAGCACTGTCTGGAGGCTGTACTGCAGTGGATGCAGGTGAATGGGCTGAGGCTGAACCCGGAGAAGACGGAGATTGTGAGGGTGGGCGGGCCCTCCATTGGTGGTTTGGGAAACTCCCTCTCTTTTTTGGGGGGTGACTCTCACCGCGAAGAGTGAAGTTCGCAGCTTGGGGATCCATCTGGATCCAGTGCTCACCATGGAAACCCAGGTGGCGTCAGTGGTCCACTCCGCCTACTTCCATCTGTGGCGGATTGCCCAGCTGTGTCCCTGTCTTGATGTTGGGGCATTTACCACATTGGTCCATGCACTTGTAATCTTGAGATTAGACCACTGCAATGCAGAGGAAGAGAGCCATATCTTTGTGGGGCTACCTTTGAGATTGATGCAGAAGCTTCAAATGGTGCAGAATGCGGGGGCTAGACTTTTTAGTGGGATGAGAAAACAACAGAACACACTGGCTGCTTGCATTGGCTGCTCGTTTGTTTCCACATTGATTTCAAAGTGCTAATGATGACATATAAAGCCCTAAACAGTTTAGGACCTCAATACCCAGGGGAACGCCTTCTCCCACCTAGATCTACTTGAATCACTCATTATAGCCAGGAAAGATGGCTGAGGGGCCTAACGCCAAGGGAGGCCCATAAAGAAAGAACAAGAAACCGGGCCTTCTCGGCAGTGGCCCCTCGACTCTGGAACAGTTTCCCACCAGAGATTCACCTGGCTCCCTCACTGGGTGTTTTTAAGAGCCAACTCAAGACCTGGCTCTTTAGGAAGGCCTTCCGTCCTGTCACTACTTGATTTTTACTTTTTATTTTTATTTTTGTTTTTACTTTTTCATTTGCGCTTTATCTTCCCATCTTGAATGATATTATTACTGCTGTTTAAATTGTTGTTTTAATTGCTTTTATGCTGTTTTTTATTGTAAGCCACCCAGAGTAGACGTCTAAATGGACGGGGTATAAATAAAATAAGATAAAAATATAATAAAATAAATAAATAAAACTGACCTAGATTGTGGGGCTCACTATGTTGTTAATCTTTTCCCACTAATTTGCCTGTCTTCAGTCCGACCTCCCTCTCTGGAATGTTGTATGGAGGAAGAGAGCCATATCTACAGCCCTGAGATCACTGGAAGAAAACCGTAACAGAAATGGAACTAATAAATACATAAAATAAAGGAGTGATGTCTTTCATTTGATCTCTCTCCCCGACTCCTGAAAATAGAACTGTTCCTTTGTATTTTAGGAAAAGAGTGTTCCCAGGATGAAAGCACCGCAGCTGCAATTTTTACAGTTCAGATGGATGATTATCTTGGAGGAAAACCTGTGCAGCATCGAGAAATCCATGGATATGAATCTACGCAATTTGTTGGGTACTTCAAAGATGGCATTAAATATAAGGTATGTAGTAGTTGACTTGTTGGGTTTGTGACCATAAAATAAAGATTGAGTTGAACTGAATAGTTTGATGATGATACAGTTTCTCTTGAAAATTTTGAAAACAGAAAAGCAGGTTGCTGTAAGGGGAGAAGTCAGACTTCATATTGAAGCAAGTATTTGGCCTCTCTCCCAATGTGAACTGTTCATATAACAGCTATGCAAAAGGCTTGAAAAATCCACTCATCCACTCGTCTGTGATGAGTGAAAAAACGCTGGTTGACGAGCCACACCTCCCTCCCTCCCACTCTCCCTCCTTGCCTCTTTACCCTTAGCCCGTCTCTCTCTCTCTCTGATCCTGCAGTCCTCCCCTCCCCCTTCCCATTGCAAAAGGAAAAATAGCCCTCTTCTCACGTGAAGAGAGTTTTAGCGGCACATAGATACATAGCTCTGCATAAGAATGTAGAGTACAGTGATGGCTCTTAAGACAAAAATAATTTGCCATTAAATATAAGGTATGTAGTAGTTGACTTGTTGGGTTTGTGACCATAAAATAAAGATTGAGTTGAACTGAATAGTTTGATGATGATACAGTTTCTCTTGAAAATTTTGAAAACAGAAAAGCAGGTTGCTGTAAGGGGAGAAGTCAGACTTCATATTGAAGCAAGTATTTGGCCTCTCTCCCAATGTGAACTGTTCATATAACAGCTATGCAAAAGGCTTGAAAAATCCACTCATCCACTCGTCTGTGATGAGTGAAAAAACGCTGGTTGACGAGCCACACCTCCCTCCCTCCCACTCTCCCTCCTTGCCTCTTTACCCTTATCTCCCCGACTCCTGAAAATAGAACTGTTCCTTTGTATTTTAGGAAAAGAGTGTTCCCAGGATGAAAGCACCGCAGCTGCAATTTTTACAGTTCAGATGGATGATTATCTTGGAGGAAAACCTGTGCAGCATCGAGAAATCCATGGATATGAATCTACGCAATTTGTTGGGTACTTCAAAGATGGCATTAAATATAAGGTATGTAGTAGTTGACTTGTTGGGTTTGTGACCATAAAATAAAGATTGAGTTGAACTGAATAGTTTGATGATGATAGAGTTTCTCTTGAAAATTTTGAAAACAGAAAAGCAGGTTGCTGTAAGGGGAGAAGTCAGACTTCATATTGAAGCAAGTATTTGGCCTCTCTCCCAATGTGAACTGTTCATATAACAGCTTTCGTCTTGCGAGTTTTTCATTGCGCGAGGCATTCATCTTGCGAGGCATCACTGTAGTCCCACTCTGGAGAATATGGAGATTCCTTGCTCCCAATTTCAGCTGAACAACCTGGCTCCTTAAGAGGCTGGGCGCTTTTGCTTTCAGTTTTATTTTTGCTGGAGACATTCAAAACAACAGCATTCAAAATAGAAGCTTTATGACCCCACAAGCACGCAGGTAATAAAGCAACCCAAGTCTGAGGGTATATTTATTTTGGGTTTGTACGCATTGTTGTGTAGAAAGTGCCAAGTTTAAATTTAAACATAAGTTTTAACATAAATTGCAAGGCTGTAGTCTGGTCATGCTGACTGGTGACATTTTTGACTGACTGGTGAGACATTCTAAAATTTTTCAAACCCTAGCTATGTATACTACTGTATTCCATCAGTCAGAGGATCACAAACTCACTGAGAGAGTTTGAATGGCCATATGTTGGCTTTAGTAAGCTGTGATATGAAGAATTTTTGGCCCAGGAGTGCAACCTCCTCATATAAGCTAGCAAATAAAATGAAAAGTTTTCCATTTCCTGTAGGTTCCTCTTTTGTCTGATTTGGAAATTTTGGTCAGCAACTTCAGAACAAGCCAGGATATTAAATCAACTTGTTCCAAAATACTTAACCATAGATTTCTGGTTGAGATAAACTAGTTATTGAAGAACTTTCACTTTGTCCAGAATGGGCCAAACACTTCACATGCAGAAGATCTTGTGTTCATCTTTAAATGGGGCTAAGAAAGAATCCTGAACTTGGCAGGGAATAATTTCTCTGGCTGTGTAACATTAACTGTGGGTCTTAATGATGGCAATTTTAATTGTATTTTAATTGTATTTTAATTGTATTTTAATCATTTTATTTTATTGCATTGAATTGTAATTGTTGTAAGCCGCCCAGAGACCTTTGGGTAGAGTGGGCGGCATATAAATTAAATAAATAAATAAATAAACACCCCAGGACCACAATCAGCAGTGTTCCTTCATTTGAAGGATAAAGGACACTCATTTGACGGCCAAGATGTACTCATTTTGAACCAGAAGATAGGTGATTTGAAGTGGGGGGGGCTTGGAAGGAGGCCATACATGTGCATATAGAAAATTCCTCACTCAACAGAGGTGGAGGCCTTAGATACAATCAGTGTCCTATTTATCTTGCTGTTTCATCCTCCCCAGAAAGATCAGATCAGGATCACACCCATCAGAAAGACCACTGTTAATGACTGTTAATGACCCATGACAATGGGTGGAGAAGGACTGCAGAAGCAGGATTTTGACTCACCCCCCCCCCCAAAAATGGGTGGAGAAGGACTGCAGAAGCAGGATTTTGACTCACCCCCCCAAACCTTTGTCCATCTAATGAGCCTATTCAGACCATTGGAAAGTGAAACTAATGGTTATATCAGGGGTCTCCTACCAACTCTCCTCAGACATTTCTCTGGCTTCTTTCCGCAACAAACCAGAGAACTAACCTTCAAGCAAACTCAGTTATTTCTGTATCTTGTTGAAAGACTAACAAACCAGAAAGCTGTGTACAGTTGGTTTTGTTCTTCATATGAAACAAAGCATGGACAAAAAGTAGTTTGTTCAGCTACTTCTGCTGTAGGCTAGAGAAATCAGCTATCATGTATGTATGAACACAGCCTCTTATTTTTGACAGACCAAAATTTTTCTTGAATTTGTCATATTTCAACATGGTCTACTTCCATAGGTATCCACTTCCTAAGCAAGTTTATTGTTTAAATTGAAGAAACTTGGAGCTCTTACAGAAGGGTTAAAAGTTTTACCTTAGTTGATGGTTGTTGTGGGTTTTTCGGGCTCTTTGGCCATGTTCTGAAGGTTGTTCTTCCTGACATTTCACCAGTGTCTGTGGCCGGCATCTTCGGAGGACTGGAGGAGGACCTCTGTCCATGCTCTGTTTTTATCTGGAGTAGGACCTCTGTCCATGCTCTGTTTTTACCCTAGTTGATTGCAGTTTGTTCCAAGGGAGAGTGGGGTTTACTGTGATTCACAGCCATACTAAAGTTGAAAAGTTCAGGTCTCCAAAACTGCTTCTCTTTGGGAACTCTTTGAAATCCACACCTGTTGTGACGCTCTTTGTCTGTGTCTGTGTCTCTATTCACAACGATATGTATGTTAATGTAATGGCGTGCTAATAATAGTATCCAATCAGAAGGCTCCTCTAAAGCAGAAATGAATTGCATGGGATACATAGAAAGAACATAGTTTCTATGCATCTCATGATGCTCCTAGAAAAAAAAATCTAGAAAAATAATGCACCTAGGGAGGGACACTCTTTGTCTGTGTCTGTGTCTCTATTCACAACGATATGTATGTTAATGTAATGGCGTGCTAATAATAGTATCCAATCAGAAGGCTCCTCTAAAGCAGAAATGAATTGCATGGGATACATAGAAAGAACATAGTTTCTATGCATCTCATGATGCTCCTAGAAAAAAAAATCTAGAAAAATAATGCACCTAGGGAGGGACAAAACATCTCTCCTCTAAAGCAGAAATGAATTGCATGGGACACATGGAAAGTACATAGTTTCTATGCATCCCATGATGCTCCTAGAAAAAAAAATCAAGAAAAATAATGCATCTAGGGAGGGACAAACATCTCTGCTAGGCATTTTGTCACCAAAACAACCATTCATGATATAAGCAATCAAGAGAACATAGGAACAATCAATGACAAACCAGGTACTTTTATAGGAACAAACACTCCATCCAAATAAGTCCTCAGTGCCCCCCAGTTGTTTTAAATGACTCCCATAAACCAAAACTACCATAGTCAGGAATTATGATGTCCAGAACACCTGGAAGACACTAGGATGCTTATCGCTATTGGACATAATGCAAAATCTTTTCAACCTGGTGGTGGTGGTGATAGAGTACTTATAAACATGTCTTGAACGGATGAAAAACAGAAGCAGACAAGTGATCCTAATCAGTGTTTTGCCTTACGCACGTTGGGTAGCTAAAACCATTGTGTGGATTGTAATCTCTATGGTTAGTGCAAACATGCTGTGCATTGCCTGAGCTTCTGCTTATATATATGGAGAAGTTGTAATGTTTTATGTACTTGACTCCAGCCTTGGAAAATTATGGTTTTGGCCTACAGTCCCCTACATCCCCTTGTCTACTTGAACCCAGCTGTATTGGCTGGGAATTCTGACAGTCCCCTACATCCCCTTGTCTACTTGACCCCAGCTGTATTGGCTGGCATTGTAATCCAAGAAATGAACTTCTCCACGATCTAGCTTGACCAAAGGAACCAACTAACACTAGTTGTTTTACTTTACTTAGGCTGGTGGTGTTGCTTCTGGCTTTAAGCATGTCATCACAAATGACCTCAGTGCTCAGAGACTTCTGCATATCAAAGGCCGGAGAGTGGTTCGAGCCACTGAAGTTCCTCTTAGCTGGGACAGCTTCAATAAAGGAGACTGCTTCATTGTAGATCTTGGAAAGGTAAGTTGCGACAGAACTCTAGCCTACGAAACCCACAGTTAAGTTGAAGCTCCGAGCCGGCTTATCCAGTATATTAAGAATCCTTTCTCTATGACAGTAGAGTCATAGTATCATGAGCCTCAAACATAAGCTCATGGTATTTGTGGTGTGCTGCTGACCACTTCCCTTCAAGCATTTGAGCAAACCAGGGAATTTATAAAAAGATCCACAGCACATCCTGTGTGAGAGAACTACTGCATTTCTAAAACATCAGCTGGCTGTAGAAAAGCCCCTGATACATAAAAAGGAAGAATATGTTTTTCCCTTCATTTCTATTATGTAATGAGCATTCATTATCACCTGTTATCATGGGACTCAGGCCACATGCAGTGACTTAAATTAGACATTGCTGAAGCAGGATATGGTGAACACCAGCCTCAGAAAGCAACAGGGCAAGAGCATCTTTGGTAACTGCGTAGATGAGGAAATTTAAGTGGGTGTGGCTGGTGTGAGTAAGATCTCTTATGATATAGTGGCTGGGGGATTAAATTAGAGCTCTAGAGATTTTGGTTCAAATCCTCACTCAGTGAACTCACTGGGCAATCTTGAGTCAGTCACACTTCCTCAGCATTAGATACTACACACTTTTGTTGTGAAGATGAAACAGGGAGTAGGGAAGGCATGCACACTGTGTTGTGCTCATTGGAGGAAAGGTTGAGTATTAATATAACAAATAAACAGGTAAAGAGTTACTGGTTCGGAAGCTCTATGAGTTTTTTTTTTGCATCTAGCCATTCTAGGAGTGAGGAAGGTTTCAGCTGTTGATGTTTTGAACTTCAATTTCCAACCAATATATCCAATGTTAAAGGACTATGGCACATCTAGTGCAAAGTGGAGGGCCAAAGATTCCTCACCACAAGCTAGATGATGAACATTTATAATCTAAACCTAGCTCATCCATGAACTCACCTAGTAACTCTAGAAAAACACACTGCCTCCCATAATATAAGGTTTGCATTATAATTACTGTACTGATATTGAGCTTGAAAACATGAGAGTAACAACAAAAGCTTCTGAATCATTTGCTGGTTCTCGTGAACTTTGTATTGACTGTGAAGGACTGTAGCTCTTGAGTAGAACCACACATGTCTATGTTACATTGGACTGGACAACTTTGTTGTGCCCACTTTTCTGCTTCCCCGAAATCAATCAAGGGCTGACAAAAATGCAAAACTAAAACCTAAAGAACATAAAATGCAAAATATTAAGGCTGTAGTGGCTAGAAATTCACTTCCAGCTGTGAACAATCAATATATTGGGTGGTCAGGTGGTGCAGGGAGCCCTGTGATAAATTTAAAATATGAATCACAATTCTTTTGCACACTTCAAGGTGTTGTATCTCACCTTTTCTGGAAGGAAAATTAAGGCCAGGGAGTGATGGGAGAATGGAGAGGGCCACATGTGGCCCCAGGATGATACTTTGTCCACACCCAACTGTATATGAAGAAGAGGTCGGATGAAATGCCTTAAAAGGCTCCTGTATCACAAGCGAGTGAAAATGCATCTGCATGTGCCGAGAACTGAAATAGCTGCAACCAGCCAGTATAAAAAATTGCTGGGCTAGCTGGATAGAAGACAGCCTCCTATGAGGTGTTATTAAGTTTTTCAAGAAAAACCTCTTTCCCCCTGAATAGGAATATTGTAGAATGAATGTATCACATCCATAATTATGGTTGCAGACCAACGCTGAGGAAAACAATTAACCAAATTCTGTGCTTGTGATTTCTTCTTGACCTTTAATTTTTTTCCCATTCTTCTAAACTCATAAAACATTTTCACACTTATAGTTCTGTGTTTCACATGTTTTCCCACTGGAAGGCTCACATCATCCACCTAATGTGTATTCATCCTCTGGAGCGGGAAACTGCAGAAGTAATTCTGGTTCACGTGCACATGGTGGACCTAAAGGAACTCTAGGTGGATGCATAATTACTCACGCCGGTTGCATCATGATTAATTTCTTTAATTATGCTGCTTCCATTAGTCTCTTAAAATGCAGGTGAAGAGTACTGTAGTGATTCAGCTCAGAGGAAAGAGTGTAACAAGAGAGTGCTTTCTGGAGATGTAAATCTGTTTGTTGTTTAGAAGGGGCCCATCTTATTTTATCACCGTGGATTTGTGGCAGCACAAATTGTCAATTATGGCAGAAAACAAACTGAAAACAAAATTGCATATGTTCATCTATTCCACAGCATTGTGTAGAACATATGTTAAAATATTTTGGTATATATGTATGTGTAGTGGATTCTCAACTGCCTATGATAACAGCGGAAAATTTCAGTCTTAACAGGATGTTTTTCCAGAGTTCTGCATTTTATAAAACAGAGCCTCTTAATGGAAACCTTTAAATCATCTGTTTACAGTCTAAGGTAGCTATGCTATTATACTTAGGAAAAATTATCAGGGTTTCATACATAGACTTTGAATGATTTTTGTTTTATAATAGCAAGAGGAAGAGTACCACTAATTTCCATTTCCCTATTTTGTTTTAGTGTTATGAACTTGAAAAGTTGTGTTATAGATGATATGCCCAAAACCCACGAGTAGAGATGGGCATGAACCAGAGTATAGTTCATAGATAGCCACAAACCATTAACTATCATAAATCTGCCCCCCCAATGAACCGGTTCACAGTTTGTTTTTTGAGTTTCGTTGCTGCCCATCTCTACCCATGCGTAACATCCAGTCAGGTCTTCCAGTGATCAAGCTTTAACAAACCCTAGATCTGAAATGGGCTTCCATGTCAACCAGGCACAAACCTTGGAAATGGTATGGCCAGATGAAGTGCAGATCATTGTCCTGTGGTGCAAAACATCCTTTCCTCTTATCTACCTTATTATCTTTTCAACTTTACTGGCAATAGAGCACAAGATTGCAGCCCTTGAACTGTGTCCAGGATTTAGGAAGGTCACACTTCTATAATAATAAAAATAACTACAGTTACATTGCAAATGGAATGAAGTCATTCATTTCTAAGTTACAATCAGAATGTATATTTGTTGTTTTCATATCTTGCTGTATGCTTTCTTTAGCACATTTGGTGGTTGAAGATGTAACTGTGGGAGAAGTTAGATTTAATTGCTGATTTGCTGTACATTTTGTCTTTACATTGTCTAACAGCTGCATTCCCCCCCCCAATCCATGTTTTTGTTTATCTGTACACTTATATATCTGTATATTCAGCTTCAGCATATTTCTCTCACAGCTTTGCAAAATTTAATAACTTAAAACTGGATTTCTAACCTTTGGAATGATTAGCCAATGGGTTAAATGAACCTTTACAAACAGGGCATGGGGGTGGAGGAGACTTCATTATTTGAAAAAAGAATGATAAAGTAACTGCTAACTATAATTTACTTGTAATTAGTTACTTCAGGCTTTGCCTTTACTGGCAATAGAGCACAAGATTGCAGCCCTTGAACTGTGTCCAGGATTTAGGAAGGTCACACTTCTATAATAATAAAAATAACTACAGTTACATTGCAAATGGAATGAAGTCATTCATTTCTAAGTTACAATCAGAATGTATATTTGTTGTTTTCATATCTTGCTGTATGATTAGCCCATGGGTTAAATGAAGCTTTGCAAATGGGGGGTGGGGGGTGGAGGAGACTTCATTCTTTGAAAAAGGAATTAATGATAAAGTAACTGCTAACTATAATTTACTTGTAATTAGTTACTTCTGGCTTTGCATATGACTATTGGGATGATGGAGGAACAAACATCTTTGACAATTGTTGATTCATTTGTATAACCACCAGATCAGTGCTGCATACCTTCTTCATTCATGCAGGCATTCTTTAATGACTTATAGCAGTGTATATTGAAGTTAATTTTTAATTTCATATGCACATCATATGGCAAATAAACCAAGATCTTGTAATTTCATTTTTTAACACAATTTTACATTTGTTTCGCCTATTTGGAACTTGGAAATGCAAATGCTGAATGAAGCAATCATTGTGATTAATGTAGCAAACCTTCCTTAGCAAATGTACACCAGCATTGCTAAATGAGAGTATTCTCTCCAGTCGTTTTACATAAATGTTTGTATTGATCACCAGGATATAGTCATAATCATCTGATGAAAATACAAAATACAGTATACTGTTTGGAAGAGGATGCTAATGTTGGTTGCAAAGAAGTTTCCTGATTCAGAAATTATTGTGATAAGCTGCATCTTAGTTTGAATCAGTTTTTCAGGATGGCAGTAAACCAACCACACTTCTCAATGCAATCATTGTGATTAATGTAGCAAACCTTCCTTAGCAAATGTACACCAGCATTGCTAAATGAGAATATTCTCTCCAGTCGTTTTACATAAATGTTTGTATTGATCACCAGGATATAGTCATAATCATCTGATGAAAATACAAAATACAGTATACTGTTTGGAAGAGGATGCTAATGTTGGTTGCAAAGAAGTTTCCTGATTCAGAAATTATTGTGATAAGCTGCATCTTAGTTTGGCTCAGTTTTTTAGGATGGCAGTAAGCCAACCACACTTCTCAATAGCACAATATATCTGATATCATTGCCGAATGATGGTGGTGAATCTCTAATCACTGATGCATAGATACAGTTACCACTTTCAGTAAAGAATTTCAATAAAGAATGCAGTTTGGTCTCTTGCTGTCTGTAAGTTGAGGGTCCACTGTATATCTGAGATCATTGCCGAATGATGGTGGTGAATCTCTAATCACTGATGGATAGATACAGTTACCACTTTCAGTAAAGAATTTCAATAAAGAATGTAGTTTGGTCTCTTTAATTTTTAGGTGGAAGCAAAAACTAGAGTTTTTTCCATAATGCTTTGTAGATTGAACAAATTGATCTCCTCGAATCTACTGAGCAGGAAGCTCTTTCTGAAATGCTATACTGCCAGGGTGGTGGTAGAGCGGGAAACCAGCATTCAGGAAACCTGGGTTCAAGTTGCACTTGGTTACGGGCATTTGCTGGGT